TTCCCTCTCTCGCTGTGTCTCTCTCTGTCAAATAAATAAAATCTTTAAAAAAAAAAAAAAGAAAGAAGGTCCAATTATGGATATTTAAGAAACTGGTAAAGATTGCTCTTATTTACATATTTTTTATTATAATTAAATTAATTACTATTTACTGTGACTGCTTAAAAGGACAAAATTTGAGAATACCTCTGGTTTCCTTTACTTCGAAGGCAAGATCCATTCAATTGCTAGCTGGTCACAAATTGTTAGGGCTTACGGGTTGTGTGCATTAGCCTTACAGATATGTTACTATTGGACATTATGCTCTGAAAAATAGCTTTTGTGGGGGGGGAAGAATTTTTTTTTTTTTTTTTTTTTACAATAGCAGTATTTAGGAAGTGTTTCATGTTGAGGAAGCACTTCAAATTATCATTATTGTAATTTCAAGTAAAATCAAAGTAATTTTTCTCTTTAGTGTGCTTCACCATGTTATAGCAAACCCATGGTTATAGCAAATCCATGTTCATAGATTATTGGGTGATATTGTTTTTCCACACTAATCATTCCTCTGCAGAACCATGAGACTCATATCAGAGTAAGTATCAGAGAAGTGATTTCTCACCCTAGATCTACACGTGGCATTTGACATTATCTTACAGGACTTTTAAGTTTGACATCATAGTGTTATTAGCATAACAGACTGCAAGCCTAAGAACCCTAGTTGGACTCATGAGCACCAAAGCAGTAAAAATCAAATAAACCACACTCTAGCACAGAAGGGGCCAGCCGCAAGGTCCTGCACACTCCCCTGAGGGTGGGCTTCCAGTAAGGCTCTCTGTCTTCTGGTGCCCAAATCAACACATCCACAAGATAGCAACAGACCAGCTTCTCAGCTGACAGGTAATCTTTTCTGTTACTAATGCCAGAGTGAAGGACTCCCTTCATAAAGAGGACCCTGGATAATATGATAAACTCTATCCCCAATGCTTTACCAGTAAACATAGTAACAAGTTACATGTGAAATGTGTCTTTGTATATCCTGCCAGGGAGGTGGATATGCTGTAAAGCAAGGCTTGATTTATAAATGGAATTTGTAGGTGGGTATCAGTGGTGTGAGAGAATCTATTTGATTTCTGTGACTTTTTATTTCTGTCTCTCCATGTTTTTTATGTGGTTTTCATTTTTTATTAAATAAATGAATAGATAGCATGAATTCAATTCTCTGGTGAAAACGAGGGCATGGTCGGGGTGGAGGAGTCCAGTGACAAAGAAAATGACCCCATGGGATAATGTGCAAAGACTAGGATACTGGTGTGCTGAGATAAAGCAGAGAGTGCAAACCAGCCATCCCCAGCCGAGTCTGGCCCTCAGGGGTGTCTATGTTGCCCTTGAAGATTAGGGTTTTTGTTTTGTTCTGGGAGCAACTCTGATTTTGTGGTCCAGGCTTAAGAAGTATACATCAAAACTGCCACTGCTTTTGAAAAATAGGAAGGTGTGGCCTGCCAGGGCTGGCATCCTGCACGGCGACTGAATCCGTCCGCATATCGGGAAGCAGTGGCCTCCCATGGGCGAGGCGTGGGGCTCTCTTGTGGAGCATCCCCAGGTGCCCTCCTTCGCTCATCTCCTCTCCTACTGGGCTCCAGTGAGCATTCAGCTCTCGAGCCCTGAGGAGGCCACACAGAGCAACACTTCTGACACTGACAGAGACTGGGCTCCCCAGTGTTATAGCAGTCCTTCGATAGTGAATCAGGTGGATGTGAACTTATTGAGTATTTAATTTCCTACCTTTCCTCATTTTCAATAAGGAAGTACTTGGGACTATTTTTTACCTAAAAAAAAAAAAAACAAAAAAAACCCTCCATCATAAGCTTTATGCAAATAAGACATGCCACCCTTCTTGAGAGCTGCAGTTAATTACCTTTGGCTCCTGTCCCCCAGAGAGGAGAAACAGCACTGCACATGGCGGCTCGGTCTGGCCAAGCCGAAGTCGTGAGGTATCTGGTGCAAGACGGAGCTCAGGTAGAAGCTAAAGCCAAGGTACGTGTAACACATGAAAGTGTGTGCTGTTGAGGAAAAAACCCTTGATTTAATTGCAACCTTTAAACACATGCTTGCTCTCTTCCAGGAATACTTTTATAAAATAATGATGAAAGTCTCTATCCATGTGATATTGTAAAAAAAAAATCCCAACACATTTGTCCCTTCAATTATTTGACAAAATTAAATGGAACAGGAACTTTGTGCCAGAAAGAACTCTGTGTCCTTGGCACATTGTTAGCCCCTAGCAGATGTGGAACCAAACCGAGACTTGGTCCAGAGTTCTTCGCACTCCTCAGAGAAGGCCTTAGGCTCAAAGCTTCTAGAACAAGCACAATTCGGAAGCGTGATTGAACTCTTTTGGTTGACTTCTGTGTCACTTGTCACAGCCATAAAAGGAAAAAGAAGTTTTTACTTTTTCTTCACAAGTTGTGAAGCTATAAACCCTGAGACTTGAATCGGAATGGCTTTCAGGGATGGGCCTTTATGTAGAAGAATGTCAGGCTTGAGTTTGAGTGCTTCATTCTCTGCCTGGTGTTTAACTTCCAGAAGAAACCCACTTACCTGTCACTATTGAGATGGGTAGTTGGTCTGGTTATCAAAATGGCAATTCAGGTCAGGAATCATAAATAAACATGTAAACGCCTTAGCCGCTTAATTTAACCTTCATATATAAATATACATTTATTTGCATGGTGTGCAGTTTCTAGTTTCAAGTTAGGTAGAAAGAAAACCAAGACATGTATGAAGCAGTTTGTATACAGAATATTTCTAGACTTTTATAATATTCCCCCAATGTATTTAGCCACCTCACCTGTATCTAATTTGACCACAATTGTTTTTTAGCAACTTCTGTCAACACTCTCCAAAGCTTTCAACTTAGTATTCTTAGGGAAAAATTAAGCCTTCCTTTTCATACTCCTGTTTTACCTGCTAACATATTGTGTGGTTATATAATTAAAGTAATTAGAGCAAGTATAGCACAGAGTAGTAAGGTGACCAGTACAAACTTACTAGTGTGGGAACAAACACAACTAGATCGTTGTAAGCATGAAATCTGCAGATGAGCACCGAGGTTGTAACATCCTGGGCATCAGACACACACTTTGAGTGTCCAATATACTGTGGTGCCAGTTGGTGAATTTTACAGAGGATCTGGAGACCTTTTCTATAAAGGGCCAGAGAGTAAATATTTTAGGCTTTGCCAGATGCACCATCTCAGTCACAGCTGCTCAACTCTGACGTTCTGGAGCAAAAAGCAGCCATAGGCAATACTGCATAAGCAGATGGGCATGTCTGTGTTCCAATAAAACTTTATTTACAAACACAGGCAGCAACTGGATTTGGCCCCTGGATTGTAGTTTTCTCACCCCTGATCTAAAGAGATTGGTTCAATCCACTTAATCAGTAAAGTGCAATGGATAAGAAAGGCTGTACTCTACTGTGGATTACAAGAAACCTCATTTTCTGAGTGTTGTTGGTTCCGTATCAAGCATTGTACCTAGGGAATGGTGTCACCCACAAGCTGAAATGGAAGACAAAATTTAGAGTGATTATTTTGTTAAGGAGGCAGTATGTATCATGATTCGGAACTTGACTTCCTCAGCCAGACTGCCTGGGTCTAAATCTTGATCCACCACGTCCTAGCTGTGTAATGTTGGGCAAGTTAATTAACATCTCTATGGCACATTTCTTTTCCTAGTTTCTTCATACAGAAACTGAGAATACTGATAGTTGCTAGTGATAAGATTGGTGTGACACTGAATGAATGTAGGTGGAGTACTTAGCACAGAGCCTGGGACATGTAGATGCTCAGCAAATGTGCAGTGGTCTTGGTAGCAGGAGGAGAGTTATGGGAGATCTTTCTGTGGCAAGTATCTTTTTCTGGTTTCAGTATTCTTCTTCTGGTGGCTCCCCCAATTCCTGTTATACTTCCTACATAGACCCTCTTGCTTTGGCCTTGACTCTCATCCTACTTCGGTTTTCAAAGCCATCTCCTGTTCTCCAGCTACTTCTCTCTACCTTCCCTACAGGAAGTACTTACCTGGACTTTTTCCCGTTCAAGTGTGGGATTTCCCTTTGGATGGCCACCACAGGGCATCATTGGGCAAACTAGGAAAAGATGCCTCTCCCCCTTGGGGATAAGACCCTGAGGGTGCAAGATTTAGTGCCTCATGCCTGGGGGTAAAGTATAATAAGGGGCCCTTCTCCTTGAAGCAGATCCAGCCCATGCTTGACAAGCAGAGGGTGGGCTGGCTTTCAGCCCTCTGGGCTGGGAGCCTTTGTGCAGGTAGACCTGTGCACCCCCCGTGCTTTTGACTATGACAAAGTGGTACCAATAAAATAATTCATTCCATATGAGGGCCTAATAGCTGGCAGAGGTATAATCCCCTTTCTAGTTACTTGTGTTTTACTAGGATTCATTCCCTTATCTCCCAAAAAAGGAGCCACTGGAGGTTAAAATTTTGGTAATGTATGGCAGGTACTAGTGGGGATAATTTATAGACAGAACTGCCTTTCACACTATTACTCGAAAGGTATTGAAGGGGCTTAGACCCACCATCTTCACCTTTCTGGACATTAAAGAAAAAGATGAGATGGTTTTTAGCATTGAATCAGAGAATTGAAGGTAGCCTCTGATACCAAGCAGAGTTTGCTGAATGTCTCACAATGTCACCATTGTTTTCTCAGCTAATCACCTTGTATTTCTACCTTGCCGCTTAGGATGACCAAACCCCACTGCACATATCTGCCCGACTGGGGAAGGCAGATATCGTACAACAGCTGTTGCAGCAAGGAGCATCTCCAAATGCAGCCACGACTTCTGGGTACACCCCACTCCACCTTTCGGCCCGAGAGGGACATGAGGATGTAGCTGCATTCCTTTTGGATCATGGCGCATCTCTATCCATAACAACAAAGGTATGAAAGTGAGTCTTGGAATCCTGCTGTGTCCCCCAACATCCATCCTCCTTACAACTGAGGCCAAGTATACAAACCACTTTCAAATCAGGAGGTGAATTTTTCTTGGGTTATTTTTGTTTGTTGTTGTTCTTTTGTTGCTGTTGTCTTGTATGGTGAATGGTCTGATTTTTAAAATCTCAGCTCTGATGCCCCAGAGCAATAACCTACCACTCAGTTGCTGTGCAGGTGCAGGTTGCAAAATTTAGAGCTCACTTTTTGCTGATGCCACGTAAACCTAGTGAGTGTGATAGAAAGATGAACCGGCCTATGGCATGTCTTAGAAAGCTAGAAATGGGTCTTTCGCTCTCATATTTGGATGCAGAGATCAATACACAAGACGATTACAATAATTGGAAATACGTAGAAAACTATCTGAATACATGATGACTGCCTCCAACTTCACCCCTTGAGATTCTTTAGGCTCTTCAGTAGAGTTGAGATGCACAGTTCCTGGATCTCATTTAGTATCTGAAACAGAGTAATGAGTGATGCGGTTTCGAGTGCCCTAGGCCTCCCACCATGCCGGCTGCCCATTGGCTCTTGTCGGTGTTAGTCTCATGAGGTCAAATATGCTGATGACCCTCCAGGCACTGATTCATGCTGGGGACCCTCCATGACAGCAGATGCGGACTGACTGGTGGATGCCCGGATCCTTGTGGGAGTAGGCAGCAAGAGCAGCTACTCAACTCTCAGTGCCCAACTCTTGCAGATTGATTGGGCTGGAACCATGTGTTATTATTCAGTTCACCTGTGCTAGCTAGAATGCGAGAATCTCTGACTTCTACTCCTGAGGCCCGGAGCATACCTAAAGATAATGTGTATACACGCAGAAATTGGAGAAGAAGACACAAAGGGCTCCAGTCTGGTGATGTGAGATCCTGGGAGGTCCAGACTTGTCCTGGATTTTCCCAAGCCCTCCAAATCCAAATTGGGCCTGGGACCCAGGAACCTATTCTTCCCAAAATATGAAACCCCAAAATAGCTCTAGAATAAACCCCAGATCCAGCTCTCTGCTGGCCAGATGCCTGAGAAGTCCCAGAGTTAGTGGCATATTGTGGCTCAGTCAACAGAGACAGAAGGATTAAATATCCTGCTCCTCCTTGTTGACAAGGGGACTCGGGCTGTCATCTTCCTGTGTTGGTCCTTCAATGCAGGCTTAACCATGCTTCATCATTAGAATAATTCATTAGAAAGCAATGTCTTTGTGTCATTTCTGTTGTTCATTATTTTTATGTTTCTTATTTCAGAAAGGATTTACTCCCCTTCATGTGGCAGCGAAATACGGGAAGCTGGAAGTAGCCAATCTCCTGCTACAGAAAAGTGCCTCTCCAGATGCTGCTGGGAAGGTATGGAGCTGACCGCCCTGTAACAGGCCACTTCCGGGGTAACCAAACAAGCCTTTGCTCCTTCACCAGCAGCCACCCAAATTAGGACTAGGCCAGAGTTAAGTCTCATAGGATGAAGATCCCTTTGGACATAGGAGGTGAATGCTGGGGTCCAAGCACTGGGGAAACTGGAATGTAAATTGCACTCTGTGTTGAACCCAAACTAACCCCAGCTCCTATATCCAGGCCTCTGCTGTTAAGACACTTTTGACGCTGGTTGTTGTTTTCTGCACGTGTTTTCAGAGCGGGCTAACTCCACTGCATGTAGCTGCACATTACGATAATCAGAAAGTGGCCCTCCTGCTTTTGGACCAAGGAGCCTCACCTCACGCGGCCGCAAAGGTACCTGGGATTGGCCCGCCTGGGGAGGCTGGTGGGCAGCGTCTGCCGATCTCTGTCGGTCCATCCCCTTTGCTGCTCATGTGGCACCCTCCACCTTAGACATCACGGAGAAGTCACGGACACAGAAGCGCCTCGGGAAATCTGTGCCTTCAGCTATTCGGTCAATAGTGTGGTAGATGCTCAATAAATCCTCACTTGCTAATTGATTTTCCTTAAAAATCCAGGACATCCTGGGGCCTGTGAAGGAAAAGAAGTTGAGGTACTGTTCAGCCAGATTAAAAACATAAGCACAGCCTGAGGGAGTAAGAAAGTCTGAGTTGTCAAAGTTATAAAATGTGTTATATTTTCCTGGCCATAAGACATTGCCTCTGAGTTGTTTATTTTTGTTTAATAAAATAGGTTGGGAGGTTTTATTTATGCATTTTTAGTATTCCTAAGGGGAATCTTTATTCCTCTTGTTAGAGTATTTTTGACCAGTAGACAACCTACATTTCTCAGAAAGGAGATATGTAGGGTATATGGCTTCCTAATTACCTGGACATGCTGACTTGAGGGGCAAATCATAAAGAAGAGGTTACTTAAAGATAGGTTAATCGAGCACTGTTGGTTTAATAAGCTCTCTGTTGAACAGGTGGCTGTGATCTGAGAAAACTGGAATGATACAAACCGCAACTTAATGCTGTCCTGTGCTTTTACTCAACACTATTGTTGAAGGAACTTTTAGCATTTTTAAGCTTTTTACATCTTTGGGGTTTTTTTACTCTGCCATTTTGGGGCAGCTCTGGTGCTCTCTTTAACCTTAGTGCTTACATCAAATCGGTTGTAATCAAATCTGAAGGGGTTGTTCTAGAATGCTTTGAAGACTTTAAGAGAGAAGGTTTTCAGGTATCTTCTTTTAGGGGGTAGGTTAACTTTGCCAAGTATTTCTCCTCAGGACCTCTTTACATCTATGTCTTAATTATTTCCTGCCCCATCCTCTCCAGAATTGTACTCAGTGAGATCTAGAATTCAGAATCATACCCCTAAATTTGCTTTTCATCTAAATGTGGCTTCCCCCCATAGTTTCTGATGCTGACAAACATTTTTTTCCATTATAAAGCCATGCCTCGACTTTTGGTAAAGCTTTATCTTTTTTTTTTTTTTTTACTTTTTTGAAAATTTTATTATGTTAATTACCATACATTACATCATTAGTTTTTGATGTAGTGTTCCATGATTCATTGTTTGCGTATAAC